ACGTTTCCTGTTTTTCCTGCAGTGTTCTTGCGGCTTTCGCTTCGCGGGCGATGGATCCTCGTAGACTGACATAGACGATATCTCCTGAACTTTTCGTTTCGCGGTGCCGCGCGCGCCCGTTTTCTCACCGCGAACCAAAATATTTTCCGTCCACCATGTTCTAATTCCCTCTCTCTAGGCTCCAGCGCTGTCGTATAGAACAATAATTTTTATACGAGTCTTCTATCCGAGGAAAAAAATAACCGCGCTACCTGCGTATAAACAGTCGCGCCATACAAATGAACAAAAACCCCCATTGTATTTTTACATACAACTTTAATGCGCGGCGAAAATATAACAGTGGCAAAACACCGAGAGAGCGAGAAACGTTAAATGAATCGCGAACGTTGTATCGATTAAAACTCGCGGCATGTAAAAGGGACTTTGTTCAACATCATTCTATCAAGCGTTTCGAGGTATCCGTTTCTCTTTATCACTGTTCCGCAAAATGTTTTGTGGCATATATTATGTATATGCCACGAAAAATATTGCCACCACCATTGATCTCGTCGATCTTTCAATTAACCCTTATTATACATTTTCGGAGTAAAGTTTAATTAAATAAAAGTGATAAATCCTACGACTACTTTTCGTAAATCCACGAAAGACAAAAAAAGGTCGCTAATGAGTAAAGGGCACGAATGAGGCATATGATGCGTCGGTTGAACGGCACTATTAAGCGGAAAATAAAATCGACCGTTCACGCGCGACGAGTTACAGCCGCATGGAAATCAGCATGAATATGGATGAGCGTTGCATATGTACACATACTTCGGCTCGCGCGATCGCGGTCGAGCATAATGTTCGACTTGGGCAGAGCAAAATGAGGTTCAGGGGGGAGAGGGACGAAGGAAGGGAGGGTCGTCGGCGGGACTGGCAGGTGAGCCGCGAGATTATTGGCCGAGACCAAGCGGAGTTGGCTTAGAAATTCGACGTTTGACGTCAGTCGGTATATGAGAGACACGTCTGCTCGCATCGCGCACCATTCGCTCCTCGGGGACCCCGAAATAGAATGATTAACGCCGCCGAACGCCTGTAAAATTCGATACCCGGTATGCGAGACGTCCCCGTTTTGCTTGGGAAACGCTTACGGTACACGCGAGTTGGCCGAGACGCGCTCTACGCGAGCTGCCTACGAAACGCTCCATTCCCACTGAAAAAAATATGCCTAAAGAAATATGCAAAGTACGGACAGACAAGACGATTGGAAAGCCGGAAGCCTGGACGGATACGTGATGGTTGCGTAGTAACAACGTATCCAAATAGAGAGTTCTCCATGCAGCCGCGATCTTGCGCGAAAAAGTAGCGGCGCGGCGCTAACGCGGCGAATATGCTGGGAAAGATATACACGATCTTTTCGCGATCGTGTATCTTTCGGCCTCGGAATTCTCGGTATCTGTCCGGAATATCTGATGGTACGAAGGTTTGGAATATACTCAAAACTATAGGAACCACAATTTGCAGCGCCGATAGACCTGCAGCGGCGGGACTTCAGCATCGTTATTCGGACATCAAAGAACAGGCTGACAATTAGATGACGAGCGATGGTTGTAACACGAATTATTATTCGCGCACACAGTTGTACTCTGTACAAGATTTCGCGCTAATTTGTACGTCGTACAAAGACGTTTTCACCGACGATGACCTATTTACAACGTTTAGGTATATAGTCACCTTAATAGGATTGTCCCTTTTGTACTTGACATAAATCGAATTAAGCTTTGTGCCGGCCAATACTGCAAAGCGGCTCAAACCGACCGTGTAATGTAATATCAACACGACTTAAAGATAGAATAATTTAAGAAGAATGATTAAATATTCATTTATTATATTTTCATATATTATGTAATTATTACTTATTAATGTACGTTTATTTTATTATTTAAACATTATTACATAATTCATATTTTAATTAATTATTAATATTACGTTAAATTAAATATTGCGCGTATTCGGTGGATGCCCAGCTTGTTTCAACAAAAATTAATAAAATACCAAATATATATCGATATAAACATTTGTAACGAGAACATGTCGTTTCTGCGACATACAATTTAAAAATTATTATTTTTTTTCAATGCAAATATAAATCATTTTCGATAATATTAAACAATATTCGTTAAAAAATAAAATAACTTGATATTTCAGATAATGATCTTCATTAAAATAATTAGCAAAATTTCCTTTCTTAACAAAATCTATAACGATCGTATTTACCTTTCGGAAGACGAAACAGGAATCGATCGCCGCACACACGTTTCTGCGGCTGGCGATCCAATTATTTCCATAAGGCGAGCATCTAACGAGCTTCCACGTTCCACGTGCATTCTCGTCCGTTCATCCATCTATCCACCCATCCGTCCATCCATCTATCCATCCATCCATCCATCCATTCACCCACCGCCCATCCATCCGTCCGTCTGTCCGTCCGTTCATTCGTCCAGTCGGCCAAGCTTAAAATTAGACTCTATGAAACGGACAAGCCGGAAGCGAACAAGACCGAACGAGCTAGTATACCAAATTTATTTAGCACGAGTGTAAATTCCGTCTCGTGTCCGCAAATTCATTCAATCGACCGCGATTCAGCCCAAGACGCTCTTTCTTAATTCTGGCGGCTATTTGCAAAACTGCTGCGATAATTTCGCTGGAACATAGCGAAACACGCCCAACATAGATTTGAACAAACGTTTGCCCTCCGGGTTGCGTCTCGTGTAAACGTGGACACGCGAACGAAGAGAGTGCCGGCACTCTCTCGGAGTCGGCGGAAAAGTCCGGGCGTTTATTCCGACAGCCCAAGTTGCGCGTGTTGGTCAGAAAGTAATTATTTGCCCGCACGATATTGTTGAACGTTACGGAATTGCACGCGCGCGCGTTCTCTTTCTACCCCCGCTACACTTCGTTACGGGCATTTTGTTAGCCCGTTCTTGATTAATATTACGTGATATTATGCTGCGTTTTCGGACGGGAACGAATTTTACGATGATGTCTGGCGTTAATTACGCCGGAGGCGTTGTTTGCAGGAATTTCCGCGTAACGGTCGTAAATTTGTGAACGCGAGTGGCGAATTTACCGTACAGAATGTTTCGCAAGTTCTACGCGAAACTTGCCATGTCTCCATGATTTATCGGTCCTTAATTCTCAGGTAGAAATTATTTCCATACGACGCAATCTAGCCGTGTGAAAACTATATCTGTCGAAATACCGTTATCGTTCGGTAAATGTTAATAATTTGGCGCAACCGCATTTTTTTTCGAGAAGTGCTACGTAAAATAGAAAAAAAAATTTGCTACAAACAAAGTGAAATGATGATTAAAGAATTAGCCGACGACCTCCAACACATTCCTCGTTACGATAACGTAAACGGGGAGTGCCATGAAAGAGAAACGTTAGCTCGCCGCGCCTGTGAAAACGTGCCAAAGCCGACATCAACCTAGTTGCAAGAACAATAATTAGTCGAAATGCAATCCTTAAAGCCGGAGCCATTTAGGCCGCGGTCGTCGACGCAACAATAGAAAAAGAGGGCAGAAAGCTCGTAAAATTATCAATCGCTAACGCGAGACGAGACGCGTCACGTCTCACCAATCTTAATGTTATAGCGGAGCCGGTTGATGACATCGAAATTATACCGTGTCATTTTTAAATATACGGAAATGCGCTAAACGCGCTAAATATACCTCAATTTTTATGATATAACCACATATCGTGTCGGCGCACTTGGATTTCAAAATAACAGCACGATCGAGTTGCGGAAACACCGCGAAACCACCGAGTGTGCCATTGTTCACGTTTGCTGATTCCACCGTAAGGACTGATTCATTCGGCTCCGCGTCAATCCCATTTTGTAACATTAGATTAACCCTTTGCGGTCTACCTGACTCGGTACAGCGGTTTATGACGAACGTGTATACAGGGAACGCCTAAAAGAGGCTGCACCGCGAACGGAGTATATTCGAGACGGTCTCGCGTATCAGGGACGAATATCGCGATCACGACGAAATAACATTGCCGCGAGACAAAATGTACGACGATGCGTGATTTTTAATCTCCGCGGGGCCATTTATTTTCACCACTTCGCGTTCCAACCGAAACATCGCGGCGGAGTGTAATGGGAATGCGATGCGAGATGAAAAGCGAGGCGAGTAACGATATTACTGCAGGTGGGACGCGATCGAAGGATAAAAACGAAACGCGTGATCGACAGGATTTCGACTCCGTCTACCCTTTATTATTCATCGAAAAAAACGAGGAAAATAGGAAACAGAAAACAAGAGAGGAAAATGCAAGTAAATTCGTAAGTAGATACGAGCAACTGAGAGCTATTTTAATAATAATCTCAATAAAATGTTATTAAAAATTATTTTTTGAAAATCGAAGTTGCATGTACCTTTTTCCAAACAAGGTAAATGTACACCCTACTTATTAAATTTAATTCGATTGCCGAGAATTAAAACGGGGATGTCTCCAACATGGGAATGCCCAAAGGTCAGGGAGATTTGAGAATCACTGGCTGCCTGCAGCAGGGCCGGGTAAACCGTGCGCGAAGGATGAAGGAAGGCGCAATAACAATATCGCGTCCTGCCCTTGCCGCATGCAACCTGGGGGTAACGTCCTGTTACACCAGTCTGACCACTTCGCGCGTCCCTCTCTTCCCCAACCCTTCTCCGTCTCCGTGTGCGCACGGACCGTTTTGCTTTGCACCGGCTTTGCTTTCGCCTTCGCCTCTCGCGGCCAGCAGGCGAAAACGTCGCGGCGACCCGCTTTTCGCTAATCGCAATCCCATTCAGCGCGCGACTCGTTTCGACCGCACACGCAGCGGCGTAATAAGGACGTTCTTGAGAGGGCCTCTTTTGCACGAGTCATCCGCGCCGCGAGGAAATAATATATGTAACGAATAGCGATCCCCCCGTGAAACGTAACTTTGACCAGATAAAAATTATTCAAAATAGATAATCGTTACTCACCGATAATGATGTCCGCTCTTGCAGTCTGCGCGGTGAATCAGCACTAAGACCTGCACAATCAAGACAGTGGTGGTTTTAGTTCTCGCTTAATATGCGTACGCGTGTTCCTATTATTATTATAATTAACGTCTCGCGGACTAACATCGCGTATCTCTTAGACCAATCTTAATGCTATTGTGCGCGAGGGAATGCGATAATTAGGATACCAGCGTCGCCTTGCGCGTCTCGCGTTTCAGATGGCTTCTTGCGAATTTCACAATGCTAATACATATTAATCTGAGTTTAGATGCCGATAAAAAAATAATTAAATAAATATCCACTTAAATAACGAGTTAGCACGTATCTAGGGATTTTGTCGATTGTAAACGCCTGCGTCATTTACATGCAGATACGCTCCTGTGATAAACAAGTTGATGAAAATTAAAAGTTACGAGTCTATTACGTTAGCATTAATTAATAACAAAACATCGCTTCGGCAGAGAATGAAATTGTGTTTCGAGACGCGACCGGTTCGCGCATTTTTACACAGCTAGCCGGCGCGGAAAAACGCGCTTATGCGTCCCACGTCCGTGCGCATCGCGCGGTCATAAAACTGCACCACGACCGAGTATCGCTATTACGTGCGCGGAATTAATTACAACTATTCGTCCAACTATTTATCGCCGTTCAGAGACGGGGCCGACTCTAATAAGTGGCCCATAAACGCGGCGTTTCTAAAAGAAATTGCGAAACGCTTGAGAGATAAATCGTCGCGATTGACCAACGCGCATCTCTCTGGAATCTACGCGAGGTCACTGCAGGCTGACCCGCATACCACCGTGGAGGGTGTCCTTATTAGATCCTCGATTGCTCAAGCCTCGCAGGTACAAGCAACGACGAAAATAACGACAGAAACGTGCGAGAGTTTACTCAACAAGCGAATTTCGCGAAAGGGGTCAAAATCTGACGAAGTAACGTATAGTCTACAGATCGTAAGTCCATAAATCGATAGCCATTTAAATTAATGTCACTTGAAACAAAACGACCGAACTGCGGCGTTAAAACGATCAACGGCGATGCCCTTGCACCGAGTTCCCAAGGACTGACCAGCGCGCGAAACCTTGAGCACTTTTGCTAGATCACTGTCACCAGGTGTATGCCGCGGAGCAAACTTCACTCGTCGACTGCACAGTCTGCACGCTCACGAATCACGATCGGGGCACTCAAGGCTGAAAATTCCAGACGCCCCCTCCCTCTTGCCCCCGGGATAGGTCAGGGACAATGAACGTGCCAAACGCAGCAGCGGCAGCAGCTGCACCCGAAGTTCATTCAACTTTCCCACGCGAGAACGATCTTTTACACCAATAAGCGTCGTCGTTGGAAACACGGACGCTTGACGACGTCCTTCCGTTTCCGGTTCTCGTTTTCGGACCTTCGGCGTTTGGCCGGAAGATTCGATCGACACGAACGAACCTGGTAAGAACGACTGGAACATCAACGTCCGGGATTCCAAATATCCCTCCTGACTCTCGTTGAAGGATTCGCCGCGAGGAAGAATTTTGCGGCCAAGAAGTTTCACGCGAGTGTAAAATCTCGCGTGCGAACGCGATTGCGCCAGAACTAATACTAGGCCGAGAACACGAGTAAACTTCGCCAAGTGGCCGAGGCTCGTTCCTCTCCGACGAGGCTCGTCCACCTCTTCCTCGTCGCGAGGAGCCGCGAGTACTGGTGGGGCGAATCGCTCGCGGAGGGAGACTGTAACCAAAGAGAAGAGAGAGAGAGAGAGAGAGAGAGAGAGAAGAGGAGAGAAGAGAAAAGAGGAGCGGCGTGTGCTACGCGCGAGCGATGTATGCGCGGCGCGGTGCAGCGCGGCATCGAGCTGCAATGTGCGCGCGAGTAATGCGGATGCATCGCGATGCGGCATGAGGGACGAAGGTGGAGGATGCGGAGAGCACGGAGAAGAACGGAAAGAAAAGAGAGTGCGAGAACGGCGAGAGGGAGAGTCAATGAACGACTCTCTGAGATCGCCGCGCGATGAGAATTTCATGGTTGCGGAGAAGGCCCCCCTCTGCTCCGCTCTGCTCCGCTCCGCTCCGCTCCGGAGATCACGCGTGATAAAACTCAGGGTTTTTAGGCCAGAGATTTCCCGATAAGAAAACGTATGAGTATCGCGTTCCTAGAAGGCGGTTGCACAAACCGGGGACCAGTTGTTTATACCGAAGGCGCGATTACGTCGTTTACGTGAGCGGCAAACGCTGACTAACCGCGACACTCGACACCGACAAGATTATGCGCCTCGACGAATTCATCGACGGAGAATGCGACGCTTGGCAGAGACGGGAGATACAACGAGAACGCCGCATGGATTATTGGACAAGACGTTTTTTGTAGAAGAAATTAGCAAACTGATAACAATAAAATATTATTCCGAGATTCCCATTAATTAGCTTAATGGGAAATTCGGAACTATTGTCTATTGTTATTAGGTAACAATGGAAGAACTTGTATTATTTTTAAACAAGAAAACTTGAGTTGGCGAATCGTGACACTGAAATGAGAATGTTCTACCTACCTACATTTTTGTAGATCTACATAACCGATTAAATTTCGACCACTTCAATCAGCTTAAAGTTATTCACACAAAATCATCGCTTAAGATGTAATCCTGATTCTTTTTCTGACTTATATGTCCCCAAAATTTGAAACTGAACGATTTAAATGTGTACGGGGTGAAACCTCGTGAAATCGCGACCGATGTAGCCGTAACGAAGAGCACACTCGCGACTCGACCTGCTAGACTGTAGACCATGGGGGTGTCGGATGGCGCACGTTTCGACGTACCTGCGGCTGGCCGAAGGTCCTTCTCTCGCGTTCTAGCCACTCTCGAGGAGAACCTGTCCTCATCCGCCGCTACGACGGCGAGAATACCGACGACGGCAACGAGAACGACGAAGAGACGTAATGGAGATACGGGATTTCGAGACGCGGACCGAGCGCGAAGAGGGTCGTCGCGCGGCGCGGCGCGGCGCGAAGTCGCGGCGCGTAACGGGTTAGCCTGATGCACAGCATGACATGACATGCGTGTCGCTCACGGTACGGCGCGTATGACGTGGCGTGCGTGCGGAAGTATATCGATCAGCTGACGGTCGGGCGGATACTGGGCCGCTTCGCGGAATTCACCATATTGTTGCGTCGGCACGCATGCGCTGAGCCCTCGTCCCTTCGTTCTGTCACTCTCGTTCTCTCTCCCTCTCTTTTCTCTTTTCTTCCCTTACTTTCTTCTCCCTCGCCGTCACCCCCCGCGACACCCATTCCCTGTCTACCCCGCGGTACGTACAGGGTGATTCAGCAGGAACTCGCGATGTAGTTCCGAAACATGTTCCGGGGAGGTGAGAGGAAAGTCGAAATAGTATATGATGGACTTGCGCGCGCCTGTTTATCGATAAGGAAAACGCGATTTTAGCCCCGCGGATAACTAAAAGGGAATACGATCCGGAATAAACAAATTCTTCATAGGAGGATTTTCACCTCTTAAAAAAACTCGCTTTTAAAACAAAATTGCCTCGCATTTCCTATCTCGTGACAAGTTATGGTATACAGTATCTCCAGATTTTCGCTCCACATCCGGCTACCCACTTTATCTACTCTTCCCGTTCGCTCCCTCCATTTCCCAGGCGGGTATCCCGGAACTTTTTCACCTCCATACATCGCTCCCTCAATATGCTAATAACTCAATCCTACTTCGCCATGTCTAAATTAGATTACCGTATTACATATAAATTTGTTTCTTTCTCTCTCTTCCTCTTATTTCCGCCGTCCTTTCATCCCCGATTTTACAACGCGTTTTCCCATACGTTCCCATCGCGTACACCCGCTCGTGCGATCGCGTCCGAACGACTTTCTCCGATTTCTACATTTCCGCGTTTCCCATTTTCTCATCGACCCCGGTAATACCCGCAACTCTAGGAGACCCTTGCGCCTAGCCATTTGAGATATTATATATATGTATACATATATATACTATGTATGTATTTTATCATCACGCGAATCAAGCACAGTCGAATATATGTATATATGAAAAATAGACAACAGATCGCTACAATTACTTCCCTACTAATCGCAACTGCTGTCCAACGATGATTATACGCGAAAATACGAGGAAAGGTCTATAATGTGTCTCGGGTATCGATCCATTCTCTGGAAGATATATCGCTCGTATCATCAAGGTTGCGGCGACCCAACCAAAAAGCTCGCTTAACGATGTGTGGACTGATTAATATTCGACAAATACGCGCGACAATCCGCGACGTCCGCCATCGATCCCCTTCTTTCCGCGTTCAAATTACGTCCGTCCGTTCCATTAGCGCACGCTCTGCCGAGACATTAATGAACCGTCACGAACGCGAAGGAATTACTTTTTTGGAGCGACAATAATACAATGTGTCGAGATAAGCGGGACGGTAGAAAGTCGGAACACAATGTTAAATAGCGAAAAAACGTTGTGGCGTCTAATCAAGTTTTTTCCCCCTAAGAAAAGATCGATCCCAACGTAGCGAGCGCGCGCGTGCATTTGCGGAATAAAAATTGGCATTGCAATTACGCGTACGTTGTCGAGAATAAGATCAAGTTCACGCTCGATAGAGACGCCAGGGAAGCCGACGGGGGTTCGAGCACATTAAATAATTACTGGTATCAGTGGTAGCGCGTAATTGTCGGTTATCGCAACATGGCAATAGCACGCGGTTAAATAATGATCGGCCATTATTGTAGCGATTCGAGAAAGACGAGACGTTTCCGTCCACCGTGACCGCGGGATGATGGAAGAAAGACGGCGAAATAAAGACGCGAAATAAAGTATAGCGGGGAAAGAAAAAGAGAAAGGATATAGAACGAGAGTGAGAGGGTACGCGATGTACTGCGATTTCACGGCTGAGACACGCGCAAGGATCCACAGTCACGCTTCGTGATTCTCCCTATCTCTTTCCTCTTCTCGATCCAGGGGAAAAGAAACGGAAAGCTTTATTTCACTCTCGTGTCGAAACTGGTTATCCACGTCAGATGTTACAGCAACTTACGTTAATCCCGCATCGCGATGTAACGGTTTACGTTAATTGAATTCTCCAGAAAAGGCATAAGGGAAACTTGAGAATTAAGTGTTTGAGAAAACCGCGTCTCGAAGCAATATTTACCTCACGTATAATTACTTTGTCTCATAAGATATAACTCGCTACGGACGCAGTTGCTACGAATGAACATTTGCATTTTCACACGTTGCGACAAAAAATTCATTATTGGCTATTATAGTCGTAACAGCAAGTATCAGGACTGTTACATCTGGTTAAGTAACAGTATTAATAGGGAGTCATACGATCACGCAAAAATACACAATTTTAATATCTTATTCCGGTTTCATTAGCCGTTCAGGTGATATAATTAAAAGCGTTATGCGGTACCTTTCACCGTGGTTAGAGAATCGTCGCGCGTTTCCGACACTTGATTATCATCAAGTAATCTCCCGAGGCTCGCGCGGGATATAAATAGCGAATCTAATTGAATGAAAACGGCACGGAGGGAACAGTTAACTCTGGCAAGGCAATCGCGAGAGCTTCTTCGTTTGGCTCATTCGAATGCGATGCGGGTACGAGGGCCGAATAACGGATATCGTATCCTTACGCGATCAGCTAAGGAAGCATATTTTGAATGCGCGAATTTCGCACGGCGACGGTGGAAAAGCGGAGAAACCGGGGAGAGGATTGTAAGGACGTATTCTAACGTCGACCCGGTCTTTCCCGGAATACGAAAAAAGAACAATGACGATGACGATCTTATCGAGAATCCCCGTACACGCGAGTATAGAGAATGCGAAGCTGGTTCGTAATTAACAATTAAAAGAAGTATCCCAGCAACATGGTTTATTAGAGCAACTTGTGCAACACTGACTCGCTACCCTTGAAATTTATACGCGGTGTCTGTCGTTCGCGCGGGAATTTATCGATCCGTTTAAACGTAATTTATACACGACGGCGAATAATATCAGGGTGATAAATTAATCGTTGTCAATCGCGGCAACACGTTAAGACTCGATATCGCGTGGCACTAACTTCATCGGATTCTCTCAAGTTTGCGAATCGAGTAATTCTCGGAGTAAAAACAAATTTATCAACTCACCTTGACGCGGAGGTAAATTACTCTGCGATCAACGCCAGCTTTCCACCCGTCTGAAACACAAAACACGACAAAGTTACGACTGGTTCGCCACAATTAACGACGCGAGTCCGACAAGATGAGACTGTCAGCCAAACTGTCGTTTTTGGAAGAGACACGCGCCCGTGCCGTGTTGTGGAACTTTCTAAGCGAAAATTGCGACACACTCCGCGTACACTCGCGGTACACAAACATGCCGAGACGAGCGTTTATTTTCGCTCCAATAACGCGCTAGATGTTATTGACTCGAACGTATTTTCCTCGTAAAGGCGCTTAACTCCCTAATAGCTTTACACGTAAAATGTTATTTACATAGGTTCTAAGAATTGAAAAACACGTCTTAATTATGCAGAAAGAATCGCGAATTCGTGGCACGAGAAGACAGAAATAAAATATACCGTGAAGAGTACAATGTCAAATTTGAATTCAATGCGTCACTTAATCGCGAGAGATAGAGATAAAAACTTATAGAAATCCTGATGCGTCGTGTGATTTTTTTTCTCCGAGACAGACGAAGCCACCTCGGCGCCGAAACAACGGCATGTCTATACAGACGGGAGTAGCTACAATGGCGTGCGATAATGAAATAACTTAATTTCGCTCGAGCAAACACATAGATCAACGGAGAGGGGTCGACAGTGACAGTGGTGACTGTTGGTGGTGGTGGTGGTAGTAGTAGTGGTGGTAGTATAGTAATGGTGGTGGTGGCTGAAAGCGAGCGAATCCGATGCAAAATACGCGCTCGACCGACGAAAAGTGTGTTGAGACTCAAAGTACACTGTAATCCACTTTGTTAGTTTGCGATCTGCTGCTCTAGGACGTATCCTTTTCAATCGGAACGCGAGCAAGCCGAGTCAATCGGCTTGAGTACTCTCGAGGAACATTGAAAATTGAACGAAAAAAAGGTCAATCGCCTTCTGAATAAATCAAAAGCTTTTAAAGTATATAAAAGTATGTATTCGCGAAATTCTGTTTTGATTCGGCTAAAGCTAGAAAAAGATTGGTTGTTCTAGGTTCATAAAATACAGTTATCCTTAAAACTCTCTATATAGTATCGAGTGACAGTAGTCGATTAGGAAATGAAATATTTCAACAAAAAATTTAACCAAAAATAATACGACATACTATATTAGATCGACGTAGTTCTTGTGCAAGAAGAAACCAAAGATTTTTGAGAAATTCGACTCTATCTTTACAACGTTCTAAAAATTGTGTAAAATGAAAGATTGAAGATCCAAAGTAACCAAAGATATGATTTTAAAGCTAGTCCCGTCTTACATTCAGCTAACAATGTGGTGCATAAAAAAATTCGTCGAAGAGAAAGCGACGGAATACCGCCGGTTTTGTCAGATCGAGAGACTATACAGTTCACGAAGTAGGGATACAATGTGAAACATCAAGTGCGTCCATAGTGGCGTGCAGTGGCAGTGTTGGATGACGACCGACCGTAAAGCTGATTGTAAAAGGATCTTACACAGAAGAGGCTCGGTACCGACAACCGAGAGATAGACACAAAATCCGAATCGTTATCCGAGGGTCGCGTCACACACGGAGAAGAGCGAGGTGATCGACGACGACGACGGCGACGACGGCGACCAAGTTCGACGAGGACGACGAAGAACGACGGGCACTTCGCGCCGCAGCAGGCCGATGTTCTCCACTTGATGTGTCCACGTCCATTTGTGGGTCCCGACGGCCTCGAACTGGTCTCTTATCCCTGGTATCGCCCAATCAAAAAACCGGCAGCGTACCGCTAGACGATTGGTCGGACACGGCCACCGTGAAGACTGCAATTGGTCAACCGGCCCGAGTCACCCATGGTTACCGTTTGCATCAACAATATCTACGGTCGATATTACGCGGCTTGCTATACCCGGCCCCATGTATGTTCTCCTCCACGTTCAGCGGTCCCGCACACAAGTCGCGATTAACACCTACGTAACCCCCAGAAGGGGGCGGAATTCTCGAGGGCAACCTCTTTTCTTCTACCACCGATCTCCCCTGTCGCACCACGAGCGACCCCTACCCTTCGCGACCAGCCGGCGAAGGGCTTCGAGAAAGTCGAGGGCAACCGCCACCGTCGGCCAAGAATTGCGAAAAGCCAGCACCACGACGTGGCACCCCAACATCTCGCGACGATTATTTTCCAAGCTAGCTCGCAATCTCCTTATCGCGGTGGAAACCCATCTCGGGTATCGCGACGTGCAGCCTGCGCGATAGAGGAATGTATTTACGTAAGGATAATCTTGGCAATTAAGTCGGAGCGACAGGCTAAGACTCGAAGGATCTACCGGTGCCGCTGAATCCTATTTTCATAAAGGGAATCCTCCGCTTAGAGCGTTCGTTGTACCGTAGACTCGCGCTTTGTATCAAAGCTTGTATCAAAGACTCGCATTTAGGCTGCATCCTTTGTACGCGAGCGGATGTCGATCTTATCCGGCCTCTACGAATAATACTTCTAACAAGCTATGAGGAAACGATAGTTATATATTTATGATCCTTGAAAGATATTTTTAACTCAAGTAGTAATTTAAAAAATACATTATTTTAATCGAAATAAAGTCATGATTGCTTGATAATAAAAAATCGGTATAACATAGCGAGTGTACGCATAGAATAAACATAGAATAAAAAGTTAGACACATTCCATGAAACGTGGAAATTTTCGCTATCGCTACCAGTTTCCGTTCCGTGCCATTTTGCACACATATATACGTAATCTCAGTTTCGAAGTGTCGCGGAAAACGGCTTCGTCTTCGAAGTCTAATTGCCACTTTAGCGATTGTTGGGTTAATGGTATTAGCTTCGGCTCTGGCTACGTCCCAGAACTCACTGTCAGCGCTTCGAACAACGTTCGGTCTTATTTTGAATTAAGCCGTGCGATGGAGATACAACGAGCGCTGTTAACGTTAATTGCTAATTTCGCAACGTACGGCCACAAGCGCGAGTATAAATACCCAATTGCATTTTCTCATAAAACGAGCGAAACACCATTCGGTGTTGCATGCGTTTCCATCCCGCATATCAAGTAGATTTGGCAGGCAATGATATTAGCGTAACTACGCTAATTGTATCGTAAGTTGTATCATCTTCGCGATATTGCTGATCATTTGTGCCTCGGAGAGAAGCTTGTAAACTGAATGGATTTTATACCAGAAAAAAGTCTCACTCTACAAATACATCAAGTTTAATAATGAGCCTTGTGCTTTATATCGGCACAATGATTCTTTGTGTAAAAGCACGAGGTGATACGGCGTCTGAAGATCTTATTACTGATCCAAGGATTGAATGCAGGACGGAGGCAGACGCTGCTAGACGTCGCTTTACCATCTTCTCAGATCGACGAACATTTGTCACGCGAATCGTCGACGTGCCTCTTCGCGCCATCGAAATCCACCCTGAAGACTCGGAGGAAGCAGTTATCGAGCACGACCCGCAGTATTATTCGCGACTTTGGAGAGGAACCAGAATGCTCGTGGCGAGGGCGCGGGCGGAGGAGGCCAAACCGGGCATGTCCCCGTTCGACGTTCGATTATCCGCGTTATCGATCCCTCGGTCCTTCTCGTACACTCAATTCCTGTACGACGAAATGAACGCGGATGTGAGAGACATCCGACGCGGCGGTTTTCCCGCAAACGCGATGCGATATGTCACAGCCCGCCCGTCAAAAAATCTCATAAATTAAAAAAAAAATTCACTCCGAAATAACTGAACGCGAAAGTCGGTATTATATTTTTACAAGAGTTTGTTAATGAATATTATTTGACAAAAAAAATATTTTTAATAAAAGTCATCACGTGATACTGTATATCATTTTAAGCTGTCAAAATTCTCAGGCTGTGCGATGTTTAATCGGAATTCAAATTCAACTGATAAGCACAGCAAATATTGCGGCAGAAAGATGACGAATCATGAAATAATTAAATATTCGTTTCTAGCAATCGATACCGAAATGCGAAAGCGGCACACGATCCGGTGGAAGAAAGGCGACGTGTGATAAATAATTCAGAAATTAGATAATATCGTGCACGTTGCTCGTTCCGCGGAAACTGGTTCGATTGGTTCGCCTTGTTTTTTAAGAGGAAACCGTATTACCCGACACGCCAACCTTGTTGTCCTGCACAATGCGAACGAGTTCGCCAATGTCATTTGTCAATTAAGCCCACACGATCGCGTATCTTGTGGGCTTGTACCCAACCTAATAAAATATGACAAATGTCTGCCCGTCCAAAACGAAGCTGCTTCGAATTTCTTGTCCTAAAATAATATCAATTTCCAGACGTTCTATTTTTGTATCGGACTCGAGCATCCGAACTCGATTCAAACCAAGCTCGAGTAAAATTTGAGGGTTACGTAAAAAAAACCTAAACGATACATACATTTATTTTTTATCAGGATATATCATAGATATTATTAACGTTTATCTAAATATAGAAATGTGGTGATCCATTAAAGTTTAATCAATCTTTCCTCTAGAAATAAGCCCCATGTGTACCGATGTTAACGATATTATTATTAGTTTACTGACTCTTATCGAGTTATAGTGGCGCGACGCCCGATCGGATTATAAAAACAAAATTAAGGCATCACGCGAATCACGGTACTACAGGCACTAAGGCGAGATTCACTTTGACGATGACGAACGACCGACTGTGAAAACATTTCCAAACGCGGCACGACAAACTCGGTAAATTACGCGATGCATTTTCTGCATGGAATCGGCCGGCGATAAATCCTTCGTGGAGCCTAAAGATTTTCATGTTTCTTATTTGCGAGTGCAACGCATCTTTCTGCGAAGCCATCAGTGAAATCACTTTACGCACCACCCTCGGAGAAAGCGTAATTGCGAAAGTTGGAGCTGGCGATAAAATTGTCGGAGCTTGTTAAAATTTTGCAGCGCAATCGTAGGAAAGTTGACAATTGTAAACGGGTTCAAGAAATACAAAGTATATTGGTATAAATGTGTGAATTGTAGTTACATGTTGCGCGCTTATAAAGGCTTTCACTCATTAAAAAGTAAATTTTTATTTATACATGCTACATTATCATTCTCTTTTTTTCTTGAACTTTTTATTAAAAAAGAGAGAAATTCATCTTTATTTATTAGGAGGTGGATGCTGCGCGGTAAACGATCCTGAGAAGAAGTCGCGGAAGTGAGTTGCGAAGAGAGCGAAGAGACAACAATGTGGGATCAGTGGAGGCAGCGCGCGAAGAGAGGGTGATGACCGGAAAGGGTGAATGAACGGAAATCACGAGCGACTTCGTAGGGAAAGGGAGAGTACGTGAGAGAGCGGCAAGAAGACGCGAAGGAAGAGAGCCAGGAAGCGGGGAAGAAGAATTTATCGTTATCCAAGGTGCTTCGTTCCGTAGGCGTAAAAAACACAGGAGAAAACGATGATGCAACTCGGTCTTTTTCATGCGAAAAACCACGTGGCAGACCTCGTGACTGTGTCATGACAAAAAAGCACGCACGAAGGAGCACGCGCGACGGACTCAGTTATCGCGATGAAGAACATAAACGAAACCGGCGACGACGAACCTGGTGAAATTGATATCACAACTGCGATCAAGTTCCTCGAGACTGAAAAAGAATCGCTCGCTTGTCGATGCGTTAAATTTCTTAAAATTCCTGATTAACGTCTCCAGATTAATGGTTACGCGACGATCGACGTTTGTTCTCCGCGTCTGACGTCTGATGGAAGAATCGGATACAGGCCGAAAATGGGACTATCGAGTAAATAGCGTCGTAATAAACGAGTGGAATGTCCAGAGAGCGCCGGAGCGAGCGAAGAAGGATAGCCGCCCATCGCCGGTCTCGTTCCCTTTCATTTAACTCGCAGTCCTTCGACACCGCGGTCCCAGGATGCCCCCGGGTCGTGAGAAAGATTCCTCGGATCGTTTTCATCCAGGTACGAGGAAGGCGAGTACATTGCAACCGCGAGGACTGTTTCTTTCCATCTCTCTCTCCTCCTCTCCCTCTTCGCCTCTGTTCCCTCTCCGCCCCACCCTCGTGCCCTCGTATCGGCGACGATTTTTTCTAGCTTTCGAAACCGGCTCCGGCGCGAGGACAATGGTCTTCACCATCGTGCGACCGGGCGTTCCACGCGAAAACGCTCCCATCGTTCACGATCAAATGGCGGTAACCGCGCGGTTTCTTCGTTCCTTGCGGATCATTTCGCGCGAGCTACTTTCGCGAGGAGTCCTCCTCTCGGGCGGAGGCGCGTTTTTACCGCGAAACCTCCATTCTCGAGGAATTTATTGCCACCGGTTCGCCAACAGTTTCTGTTTCTTCGTAAACAGATACGACGGGTTGTCGTAATTAACCCTTTCAGCCTTGAGTCATATCTCAATACACCGGTATACACGTTGGAGCCGCGAAGATAATTCTATTACAAGTTTACATCAAAAGTGCTCGGGCGAGTTATACTCACTACGTTTGCGGTCTCCGGGAACGCGCGCTTGCGAAAGTGTGCATAAAGTAAATCGTATATCGTGTAACGCGTAATATGCGACTGAGAAGTGAGTGACTTATCCAGCGAATCCGACGCATTCAAATTCGTTAAAAGTGTAACATGGAAGTTACGGTAGAATTTAGAGGCCGAGATCTTCTCTAGTCGGTCCCGCCCAATATTTCTGGCACGCGCTCGTCATTGAATCGTGCCAATTCTCGGGTTTATTTTCGTGCCGATACGATATAAATACGTACGAGATACGATCGATATACACGATTTCGAGAAAGAAGAAAACGTCATGTTTATAAAGAGTAGACAAGATCCAACGCAATTTT